CCGTTGCCGTTGCTCACAGTGGCCCAGTACTTCTTGCTCGAAGCGTCCGAGTCCGGCACGATGTCGCCCAGGTTGGCAGCAGCCAGGTCAACCGGGTAGATCGTGGTGCCCCAGTCCTTAGGCGGCATGATACGGTTGTTGCTGTCCGTCTTACAGATCGTAGCGTAGCTGTCCGTACGGTTGTCGTACGTGATACGCTCATAAGCCGAGTGCGAGCACCCCCAGTCGAATGAGTCCTCGTCCGCAGTGATCTTACCAGAAGCGTCCACGACCTTCATGCGGTCACCCTGGTGAATGTTGATGCAACCACCCTCCGAAGTGGAGATAGCAGCACCGAAGTACGCGGCCCAGTTCTTGCCATCGAACGCGATACGGCCGTGGTGAGCGTACCACCAGATCATGTACACGTCGGGGCCAGTCTTGCCCGACGAGTAAGGAGGCAACGAAGCGCTAGACGACGTCAGTTTCGTGGCCCACGTCTCCTTCGTGCCATCATAGCGGATCATGTACATGTCGTAACATGGCACGGCCGGGCTAGGCGCCGAGCCACACAGGTTGCTCGGGTTACCACAGTTGAGGGTGCCGCCGCCCTCAGCATCTCTCGTTCCGAGGATCACGAAGCCGTCCTTGTCGGCGTAGATGTCGGCGAAGTCGTGAACGGGGACCTTGACGGTGCTGCCGCTCACGAGCTTGTCGCTGGCGTCGAGCTCCTGCACGATGACATTTTCGCCACTGTGGAAGGCAACGCGCGAGCCGCCACCGGGGATAGCAGCAATGGCAACCAGCTTGAGAGCGGCCTCATCCTCGTTGGCGTCGACGGATTCACCGACATTCACCTCTGTGATTTCGATGCGCGGCTTGGCGCAGAGCTTGGAGTTCTCGCCGGTGGAAGTCGAAGTCGACGGCGAGGTGGAGTTCTTAGAAGTGGTGGGGATCGAGCTGGAGCTGGATCCGCTGGCGCTGGCGCTCGAGGCGACCGTGGGGGTCAGGGTGGTGGCCTTCGGCACCTCCGTGAAAGTCAAGGAGGGGTCAGCATCGCCGGCAGTCTCGGCGGAGGACGCAACATCGGTCTTCTGTGAAGCGTCAACACTAGACGGGGTGTATGAGCCAGAAGCTGTCTGCTCGGTGTCATCGGCGTCCGAGGTGGAAGCCTCACTGGTACCGGCATCCGAGCCAGGGTTGGAGTACTGCTGCACCGGGCTGTCTTGGGTAGTTTCCTGGCTGGCACCGACATCCGAGGCAGCAGTGGAGTCCTGCGTGACCGGGGTGTCAGCGGACGAGCCGCTGGAGGCGTACGAAGAAGAACCAATGGGCGTAGATTCCGGTGCCTTAGTGACAATGGTGCACTTCTCGTCGGCGACAGCGAAACCGTTGTTGCTAGCAAGTAGCGCAGTAGCAGTGGCGAGTAGGACGTGATACAGACGCATGGTTGGTTGTCTAGCTTGTGTGGCAGTTGGTATCGAAAGCCAATTGGGAAATGAAGAGCAGGTTGACCAACGCATTTCATTCGAACCTCCCTAGCATCGTGGTAGCGAGTGTGCTTACCATTTGGACGGGTGCAGACGTCACGCGCAAACAGCTTTCACTAGTTACAGATGTAGGGATGGCGTACCCCGAAACAACCTCGCTGCTACGCTTCACTTCACCAAAATTGACAATGCTCGTTTGGCCACAAGATGTTGACACCCTACGGCGATAGAGTTCCTTTGAAGCATCTGTACTTGGCACACGTCACAGATGATAGTTTGCCACGAAGCGTGACGCGCGATCGGACGTTGCACTAGACCCCGATCACTTGTCAAAGAGAGCCGATCTCCACGTGTTTTACTGCCAAAATTGTACGATTTGCGATCTCAAACTTCGACGTTCGAGCACGAACAGGACGGGACATCAAGGAGCTCAGATCACGATGTCGTGGACTCTCGAGTCAACCGGCAACTTGGCGACTCCATCGAGTTGTCACCAACTTGCGCGGATTGAACGACTGGCGAGGTCTTGTGAAGGCAGCTTCAATAAACCGAGACGTCATTTCACTGTTTGCGGTTTTGGTTTCGGCAGCTGGACTCGGCATTGACAGCCGGCCAAAATATCAAAAGTTTGCTTTTCAACCAGGTAGATCTGTCGGGCACGCTTCGGACAGGAAAACGAATCATCGTACTGTACCTACTGGGGCTCCATCCGATTTTATTGTCGATACTTGTACCGTATCGAGTCGATACTATCGACCATGCCCGCCTACAGAATACTGAAACAAGACGGCCGAAACGTAGTACTATTACGAAGGACTTCGAAGCAAACTCGTAGTTCTTAAGGAAAAAAACTTTAAAAACTTGATACTCACAGCTCTGCTATCCACGAGCCCTGGACCACAACACCGAACAGCGCAGTGTACCCATGTAAAGCACCTCAGAGGCTATAAGCTGAACAAGTCGGCCGTGGCTGAAGAAATCTGAATCGGATCAAATGCATGTCCACATTTTTTATTGTACGTTCACGGCAGAGTCTAACTACCCAAAATCTTAAGGCATCTAGAGCTGCGCCAATTCTACACATCTAAGAATTTCATTGCGAACTTTTGCGTCGCATTCTGCAACAACTTAGCATCCGAAGAAGCGAACCACCTGCAGGGAGGTGCCAGTCTTGCCCTTCGACAGATACGCCACACTGCCGTCCGGGTACGTCTTCAGAGCCTGGTAGCGGTTACCCACCACAGACTTGTCCACAGTCACCTTGTCGCTGATGGCCTTGCCCGTCGCCGAATCCAGCACCTGCGCATAGATCTTGCGGTCACCGCCTTCCA